AAGACAAAGTCACACTTCCTTTCCAAATACCTTTTGGAAAAACAGCAGACTGTTATTTTTAAATAACCCAAAAACAGAACTTGGAAAAGAATGAATACATTTCTAAAGTTGACTTTTAAGGAAGGATTTCTTTTCAGACTGACATGGTCTTAGAATATCCAAGAAGATCCAGCTGCTAGAAAAATGAGTAGAATCAGTAACAGGCAAAACATTAAAAAAAAAAAAAAAAAAAATGAGTGTAGGTGTGTGGGAGTAAAGCTGTCAAAATATTAAAGGAGAAATTCAGCTGTTTTATCTTAGTAGAGAAAGCAGCTTAGACATATGGCAGAAAATATTGTGAGTTATATAAAAATTAAACCATCTGATCTTGACACTTTTGTGATTAGATGGTTTTTATATCGTCATAGAGGTTTTAGTGGTTTACATACGGTAAAATGTTAGCAAGTTGTATTATTGTGTTGCTTTTAAGTGTTTGAGGAGTGGATTTTGCTTCCAGTTTACTAGATAGTATATTTTTTAGCCTGGCATTTCTTGATTTCTTTAATAACTATCCCAACTTCTTATTAACAAGCCTATTTTTACAAATATTTGTTAAAACAGTTAAGATTCTGATCATAGCATGAAACATTCCTGTGTATGTCGTGGAGATTATATGACTGTTTAACACAAGTTTGTTGGGGTGCTACAGTGTCAGAGGTTAAGCATAACACTGATTTGACCTAATTGTTGAAGGACAAGGGTGTAGTTTGAGATGTGGAAGAGAATTCCAGGTACAAGGCAAGGACGCAAGGGAGAGCTGACTGTCAAAGGTGAGCGCCTCATTTGGAACGGCTGCAAACAAGGATGCTTTCTCGGCTTCTCTGGCTGTGATAGTCAGCTTTTAAATGAAACACTTGTGAGAGATCATATAAACCTTGCTGATTTCTCAGTTTGCTACTTTGGTCCAGTGTAGGTCTACATTGTGCAGACCACATTCTATGCTGATGTTTGCCCTCCAGAGGAGATAATACTGTTTTAAAATGCAGGGATCAAGGTAGATTTTGTTTTACCTTGGGTTGGTTTAAATATCATCATGAAAGTGCATGCAGTTTGACTGTTTTGAGGTCCAGTGATTGATTGGAAAAGATGACCTTTAAGATCTCCTTATAATATCGCTTTCTGATACCTGAGTATTGTCCTTGCCCAGGGGAGAGGGAGAACATGTGCCCCTGAATCTGTTGAACTCCCTACGTGTTCGTGATCTAAGACCTTTGGGACTGAAGAGCTTTAGAATCTGTCATCATTCTCTTCTTTTTTCCACTTAAAGATCCTGAGAGATAGATAGCTCTCGGGCCTACTCTGTGCTCCTTGTACAAATGAAGGCCTGTAAGCTTGAAGTGCCTCTGCATAAACCTTGGCTGCCAAAGGACCATGATCTTTGTTACTATGTGTTGGAAGTAAATCCTTGGTCACCCAGTTGCTGGCCTTTCACTTATTATACCTCTGTGGCTTCATCTCCTGTACTGGAATGTATTCATAAGCATTCTGATCTAAGTAATAGACTACAGTCAAGGTAATAACCTTAGTAGCTCGGTTCTAAGAATCATTATTGTAAATGTCTCTATAAGCGTTCTTTAATTCTTTAGATGAAGGAATTGTACTGAAATGGTGTCCATCCTGCCATCTGCCTAGAAAATCCCCTACCTAGAGAGGAGAGCTCTAGTAGGGTGGTGAGGAAGATGGGTTTAGGGCATGACCTGAGGGGGTGTTTTGGAGGAGTTTTAAGAACGCCTCTCAGTGGGTTGGGGCTTCAGTCTGGAAGTCATAGAAGCTAAGTTTGCCAGTTGAGCCCTGGAGATGACTGCAGTGCGTGCTGAGCCCAGCAGTGTTGTGATGTGTTGTAGTAGGGGTGGGCCAGAGTGGAAAGAGTCCAGTAGGTCACAGGACAAGGGTGACTCAGAGAGAGTCCTGAGTGCAGGCTGTGGTCGCCATGCAGAGGATGACAGGTGAGGGCCAATGTGATACTGTTGTTTTGTTTAAGTTTAGAGAAGCAGTCTTGCTTTGTAGTTTAAAATGAACTTAAATTCACCGTAGCTGAGACTGGCCTCAAACTTATAGGAATTCTCCCATCTTGGCCTCCTGAGTGTTGAGATTAAGGTGAGCACCACCACACCTGGTTTATTATTATTTGCTTATTCTTTTTTTTTGGTTGTGCTCTAAGCCCATCTACCTCACTACCTACTAAGAGCTCTTCTCTCCAGGTAGGGAGATTTTTCTAGGCAGATGGCAGGATGGACGCCATTTCAGTACAATTCCTTCACCTAAAGAATTAATGGATGAGCTGGCCAAATACCTCAGCAGATTAAATCACCTGCTTAGGTAGATGCAGTGGCCAGGGTTGGGTCCCTGAAGTGCAATGCCAGCCCCGCCTCTGGGGTGCATTGAGACAGCAGTTGAGAGTGGGTGTGGTGGCATGCACCTGTAATCCTAGCTCTTGGGAGGCTGAACACAGGCAGCTCACTATGAGTCTGATCTATCTAGTGAGAACCTTTAGACCCTTAGACCCTGTAATAAAATACAGGAAAAAAAAAAGAGTCAATGGAAGGTTATAATAATGATTCTTGGGGCTGGTGAGATGGCTCAGTGGTCTAAAGCACCTACTTAGAACAAGCTAAGCTAAGCAAAGCACAGAGACCGGGGTTCAATCCCCCAGCACCACATGCCAGCCAGCCCCCGCCCCCTGGTGGGCTAAGCTGGCCACACACACACAAAATAAATAAATAAATAAACAAATAAATAAAAAACTTAAAAAAAATAATGATTCTTAGAACTGAGCTACTAAGGTACTACCTTGACTATAGTCTGTTACTTAGATCAGAATGCTTACGGATCAAACTCGGGACCTTGTGCTTGCCAAGCAGGTGCTCATGCTGCCGAGCTATCTCCTTGGCCTTGTTATTTACTTCTTAAAGACAGTGACATTGTTATCAAGCCTAAAGAAATGAGTGGTTAGGGGCCAGGGAGATGGCTCAGTGGAATAAGCACTTCCTTGTCAAGTGCAAGGGCCTAAGTTCAATCCCCAGTTCTGCAAAAAAAAAAAAAAAAAAGGAGCGGAAGAATTTAATATCAATACTTGATTGTCACATCATGTGTCCACATTTTAAAGTTTGAATTGGGATCCAATAAATGTATACTTTAATATATATATATATATATATATATATATATATGTTTATTGAGAGAAAGAAAGCTCCTGTCCGAGAGAGGGACAGGAGGGGGGCCCAAGTGGGTTGTTTCCCCAAATGTATACTTTTTATTGCTTGATGAATCTCTTAAATTTCGAGAGTCATAGTCTTGTCCTCAGTCTTTATTTTTTTCCTTCTCTCAAGGTATCTGTAGAAGACACTGGGTAGTCTATCTGTGGACATTCCTGCAGGCTTGCTCCTGTGTCTTTCTGCTGCTCTTCTTCTGCCCTCTGTTTATTCTATGAGCTGGTAGTTGGATTGGGGATTGATTGGGTTGCATTAGCCCTAATGGCTCTACCCAGATGAAGTGGCTTTGGCCTCACTGTGGGGTTCCATCATCATGTTTGTTCATTTATATGAGTGAAGGCCAGATTCTCTTAACGTAGCCTCTGTGTCGTCTCAGCACACATGGGTGAGTTCCCACAAAGGAGTGCCAAGCCACCCTACTATAGCTAGCTAGAGCCTTGCTGTCTACCTCCTGACTTCCTGTCCTCCTCTCCCAGAGGCCACTACTGTTCTTAGATTTTCATCCACACGACCAGTTTTACTTTTGTGTGTGTGAGTGTGTGTGTGTGTGTGTGTGTGTGTGTGACACCAGGGATTGAACTCAGGACTTTGTATTTGTTGGGCAAATGCTTATTCTACTGAGCTATCTCCCCGGCCCCAACCAGTTTTACTAGTCTTAAACTCCAAATGAAGAGAAAAAGGGAAGCATATGTATCAGTGTAGGGCCAAAAATTGGCTCAGCTTCTGCTGTGTGCCAGAATCAGAGTTGCTGCTGCAGGGTGAGCGAGCCAGACAGAGCTGACCTTTTGCAAGGGAAGTTGGTTGTACTAGCTTGACGGAGGCAGTCTTGAACAAAACTGAAGAAAACACAATATAAAAAGAGCCAAGTCCTCTGGCCCCCAAGAGGAAAAGGGCATGCCCCCATCTGATTTCCTTTCCCTTAATTTGGCCAGCCTACACTGGCTATACCTTTGTGGTTGTAGTGACTGATAAGTGCACTACAAAAACACTGTGCCTGTAATTATGACTGGCCTTTTGCAGTTGGTCGGGTTAGGATCACTTCAGAGGGCTGGGCACAGTGGGACCCCCGCTGGTGTGGACAGAGCTAGGGTTCTGTGAGCTCAGGGGTGGCCTGCAGTGTCCTGTGCTGTTCTCAGCCTTTGCAGGGAACCCAAGTGTTAAACTTCAGCTGCTGCGGTCCTTTGTCATTTTCCTGCAGTTGCACAGGATTTCCTCATTGTCCTGCATGTGTCTGATGAGAAAGGTACTTAGCGACATGGTGTGAATGTTTTCCTCCTGGGAATGAAGCCTGAGAACTATCGGAGAGCTGAGCCTCGCTTGCCTGCCGACCCCTCTTCCTTTCTGCCCCTCACCTCTCCAGGAGCATTTTCTTTCCACTTAGATCCACTGGCTTCCTAAGAAGGCCAGGTTCATGCAGTTTGTCTTACTGAGAAAAGCAGTCAGTAGTGGCTGGCTTTCTTTGTCTTTACACAAATAACATTCCTGTATCTTTAAAATTATTTGAATCGTGACTCGTAGGCCCTATATAAACTTGTCAGTGGCCACACTGTATATAGCTGTATATAATGTATGTGTATGCACTATACAAACTATGTCTTATGTATGTGTATACATATATGTGTATATATATATATTTTTAGTTTTCCAGTTGATTGTAAGATTAGTTAGGAAATGGTATTGGAAGTTTTTATCACATCAGGTTTTCTTGGAGCACAAATACTGAGTACATTTTTCCTCCTTTCTCCACAGGACCCTCCGTGTATGGCTGAAAAGAGACAGTGGCCAGTACTGGCCCAGCATTTACCACACCACAGCCTGTAAGTCACGTAATTGCTCCCACAAGGGCAGCAATTCTGATGTCTGTGATGATGAAAGTTTCAAGATGTCTGACTGAAAATTGCAACTGGATTTCCAAATGAGTTTCTTAGTTGCCTAATTCCTCTGAGAGGCTGTGATAAACTACAGTAAAACTCCTTTTGCAAGGGAAGTTGGTTATACTAGCTTAACTGAAGTAGTCAAAACTGAAGAAAACACAATATAAAAAAAAGCCAAGGGACTGGGGAGATAGCTCAGTAGAATAAGTACCTGCCTGGCAAGTTCAAGGTCCTGAGTTCAATCCCCTGGTACTGGGGGAAAAAAACCCAAAAAAACTAGCCAAGTCCCCCCCTTCCCCAAGAGGAAAAGGGCATGTCCTGATCTGATTTCCTTTCCCTTAATTTGGCCAGCTTATATTGGCTGTACCATTGTGGTCATAGTAACTAATACTTGTACTACAAAAACACTATGCCTGTAATCATGACTGGCCTTTTGCAGGGTCTCCTCAGTAATCTGTGGGTATTACTGAGGGATGTAGCCCAAGGCACAATTTCTAAATAGAAGATTTTTCACCAGTCAGGCGTACTGTAAACATAAAGCTCCGTGCTAAAGCATGGAGACTTTAAAATAGTCCTTGCGTGTCAGGACCTAAAGTTACGTGTAAATTCTAGCCCTTCAGGCAAATCCAAGAGACACTGAAGACCTCTGTCCCACTTAGTTTCTAAAGCCCTTTTGAGAACAAAGTTCTATAGAGAATGCCTGGATGTCACCCAAGGCCAGATGGGGGTGACTTCTGCCATCCCAAATAGCCACAGGAAGGCATCCATCAGTTGCAGATTTCCTTTGGGCTTTGGTCCTTAATAAGGTATTTTCCTCAGTTAAGGGTTTCTGTATTCAGACAACCCTTATAAGACAAAAGACTTGGCATCAAGACAAAAGACTTGATGAGTTGCTCGCTATGTCATGTTGATGGTCCCCAAAGAAGAGTTGTTACCAGCTGTCCTAGACGTTGCGGACACTGATCCACAGCTTTCCTAAGTGGAATTCCAAAGCTGTGGAGTTGTGATCTGTAGTTGGTCATTTTCCCAAGCACCTCCCTTCTTAGTTAGCATTTTCTTACCTGTGCATCTATTCCATTGTGCATGCAGTACTTGGAATCTAACAGTTTTCACCAAGGGTATTATCAAAAGAATGATAACATTTTACAACATATAGCACCTTTGAAAACCTGATCGTGGTTTATTGTGCCAAGCATTTTTGCCCCCCTGTTGTTCTTATATCACATTATGATTGTGCAAGCCTGGTTTCTCTCCCTGCATTCTCACCATGAAATAGGAAGTGACCAGTATCTTAGGATGATGAGAACAAAAGACGCCTCTGTTGGGCTGATTCCTTCTTACTTCCCAGCAGCCCAACCATCCATCTGGGAGCTAAAAGTAGCAGTAGCTAGAGGAACTGATTCCAGGGCCTGGAATGTTTTGCCCCCCTCAGGGCAAGCGCAGTGGTGCTGGTGCCTTGCCTCACACTCAGACCCTCCTCAAAGTTCTTATTTTGGTTTTAGCTTAATCTCTCAAGAGTCCTCAACCTTGAGTTCATGCTCATAAGAATAGAGACTGAGGTGGATTGTATTCTGTATTTCCTTCAATTATATATTTCCCAATACTTAGTGCAACTGTCTAATTAGTATTTCTGCCAGGGCACCAAAAGCCCAATAGAGGTGTGTGCTCCTTAGCCTGTTAGGTCTTGGGCACGGGGTATGGCTCTCTGTCCTTTCCCTCACTGAGCAGCAATTTCCAGCTCACAGCAGGGAAGGGACAGCACCTCAGCATGTGCAGACACCTTCCTGTGTCACTGCTCATCTTTGCTCAGCTCATCGCTTCCATGAAATTCTTTTTTTCTTTGTATTTAGTGCAGGGTCTACAGGGTCTCACTACACAGATTGGACTCATAGTGATTCTCCTGTTTTTAGCCTCCCAAGCACTGGGATTACAAGCGCGCACCACTATGCCCAGTCTCAGTCACCATCTCAGCGCACCCTAGGGGTGGGGCCAGCACCAGCACAGCATGTAAGGGATTGAACTTTCGTCTGCCTAATCAGGCAATTTAATCCACTGAGCTGCCTGGTAGGCCCTTCCAGGGGTCTTGATGGCCTCCATCTAGACCTGTGTCTGCTGACACTGCAAGAAGATGGCAGAAAAAACATCACAAGTGAATTCTAAGAAACTACTGTCTGTTGGAATGACTTTTAAGTTCAAAATGTAAGAAGACTGCCATGTTGACTCTAAAAACTCTGTCAGTTCCTCAGCTGAAGATGTTTTCATGGTTATCCACCAGTGTAAACTTTGCCCTGCAAGCTGACCGATCGCTAAGGGATCACTTGTGTTTTATGTTGCTTCTGGTTGTCCAGTTGTTCAATAACTACAAAAATCACGTAACAAAAATCATTGTAGAGTCCTCTGTAGCTGAAGAAAAGTAGCTCTTAGTTTCTGTTTTACTATGTGCCTTAAGGCTTTATTAATAATCTAATTTTATCACTGCAACTGCTATGCAAGGTAGATGGCGTTTTTATCATGTTGTGAACAAGGAAACTGAAGCCAGAGGGATTAACTTGATGGCTTGTGATTAGAACTGTAATCCATGCCGGTTTGTAACTTGTAACCCATGCCATCCACCACAGTAGATCCACAAAACTTTGGATGCAGAGAGCCAGGCAATAAATATTTAGGTTCTGTGGGCCAGAGCGTCTCTGATGAGTATTCACTTTGGCACTGTAGCAAGAAAGCAGTTGTGAAGAGTATGTAAACAAAGGGCCCTGGCAGTGTTCTTGAAAGCCTAGCCCTTATGAGCAAAGCGTGCAGTTGACTGGGCTTGGCTCCCTGCTCAGTGTTAAACATATGATTTTAGATTGTACTGATGTCTTCCTAGAAATCCACAGATTTGAAAGATCATCTGTATTTTTCTTGTTTGTAAGTCTGAGGGGCTGGAGAGGTAGTTTGGTGGTCTAAGTACCTGCCTGGCAAGAGAAAGGACCCGGGTTTGATACCCAGTACTAAATGCTGTGCCGACCCTGGGACTCCTGGTGCGCTGTGCTGGCCACCAGAATTGGGCGTGGTGGCGCACGCCTGTAGTCCCAGAGCTGAGGAGGCTGAACTAGGAGGATCACTATGGTAGCCAGACCCGTACCAAATATATAAATAAAAGGTTAAAAAGAAAAAGTAAAAGACTGTGAATGTGACATCCTTCCTCTTTGTTTTGAAATTTAAGTTGCTTATCTCAGTAGAAAAAGATGGGACATCACTGTATACAAAACAAAGGAATGGGGGTAAAATCCAAACAAAGGAGGGAAGCATTTAATTTTTTTTTAGTTGCAGAAATTTTCTGTCATAACATTATACACTGACTTTTTATACAAGAGAGATTTTGGAAATTTGCAGTTATTTTATTTTGTTGAGAAATAGCAATGAGACAGTTTCAAAATGATTAATAGGGTAGTTTCAATAATTAATACAATGTACATTGTTATCTTCTTAGTGGTTATCCATAGTACAAGAAGCAGGCAGGATATCCTGGCCAAACACTATTAGTACAAATCTTTCTTCTCATTGAATTAAGTGAAAGTAGCTTTATATCTATCCTAACTATTCTACATATACAGATACAAAATGGTCCTTCCTTTGTATCCCATTTTTTTGTTTAGTCCTGTCAGAGATGAGTATTCCATTGATAGCCAAATACTATAGTTGTGTGAATTCAGCAAAACAATCCAACACAGTCCAGCAGTGTACAATAGTAGTGGGTTATCTGCAGAAGTTGTTGACTTGAGCCTTTCACAGCTCAGCATATTAATATGACTTTACTTTATATATCTCATTTTTATACTTTTCTGCTGGATGGTTAAGACCAGGATAAAGCAAGACCTACATAACAAGAAATGTAACTTTTGTATCTGATAAGGTCAGTCAAGTCCTTTCAGGATTTATCCTGTAACCCTGTACCACACTTTATAGATCCTTTGTCAGTGTCAGCCATG